AGACTGACAGGTTGAAGTTCTCTCATTCTGCCCGAAGGGAGGAGTGATTCTTCCATTGACTGTCCTGCATCTTCCATGGCTAATTTCAGTTATAGGCAGAGGTTTTTGTACTGTCTCATTGACTGGTCAGGCAAATGAGCACAGTCATATACTTGTAGGAATCTTCTGTACCTGTTCTTTAAAAAGACAGCTCTGTGGCTTTCCCTGACCCTTCTGATTTTACTTACCTAACTGAAAAACATTCCCTAAACTTGTTGCCTTGTTGTCACATACGGAGTGTCAATTTCTACAGAGGAACTGCTGCAGGGTAGGTCTTGTAAATAGTTGGCCAGCAATTGCAAGGAGACTGGAAAAAAGATTTGTATTCAGGGTGAGGGTTGACCTGTATCTTAATCTTTTAGTTGCACTGAAATGAATACAGGGCACAGATTGTAGCTGGAAACAAATTACTTGCTGCCAAGGATAGTTTGAAACTTGTCTTGCTGAATAGATGCCACTTCAGGATTTTGCTGAACTCACTGCGAGTTTGAGGTTCGTGTAATAGGAAGAGCATCTATACCACGGAGTCTGTTTCTGTGATGAATTTAACAGTTGAAAAATTAAAGAGAAGCAATCCAAAATTTCCTTTTTTCTTGCAAGAATAGGATAAACAGGGTTTGCATTCGCTTTCAAAGCCTAAGTAGTCACTTGCACAAAAAGAACGTAGAAAGCAGTAACTAAAAATACCACAGAAAATCTGTGATATATGCTCTACAGCAGTTGTTGCCAAACCTTTTTTTGTTCATGCACCCCTCAGTAAAAAAAAAAATTGTGAGCATGAACCTTCAGTGTTTAACTTATTAAAAAATTCATGTATGTGCTACTGTACTATCATGTTATGCACATCATAAAACATGCACAAAACCAGAAATTAAAAAATAATTATAAAGGTGAAATAAACACAACACTAAGAAAAGTTTTATTTTTTAAAGGTACAAAAGGTATTTTCTTCCTGCATCCCCAATGGGTGGGCTAATACACCCCTCTTTGGAGATCACTGCTCTAGAGCATGCAAACTCTTGCTAGCTGCTTTGTTGTGATAGTGTTTGAAGCTTGAAGAACTCAGCAAAATCTCAAAGGAAACTAACTTCAGGGATAGGTTAGGCCATTCATCAGAGCTCTGGGAGATCGCCAACTGCTTGCACTTAGGGAATTTTTGTCTATGTCCTGAAGGTGACTGACCCATTCCAACTCTGAAACTAGTAGTATTTGTTGTCTGATAGTAGCAGTCCTTTAGCTTTACAGGCTGTCAGTTGATTTGTTCTTCTAATACAGTGAAACTTTGAAACTGCTCCGTTCTCTCAACCTAATGACATTCTTGCTGAATCACACCGCATAGTCCTTCTTGTTTCTGCCCCTCTCTCCACAGTGCTCTCCTGAAAAATGGTAATTCTCACAAAATGATAGGATCTTTATCCAGCATATGGTAGGATCTTTTAAGCTAGCACAGGTTGCCAGCATGCTTCTGCTATACTTAAATAGACTGATTGAACACTGTTCTCTCTAACTGAGGAAAACTGAATACATTTTAAAGCTGATTTTAATTATATATGAAGTGGTGGATGGTTAAAAGAAGTGTTTAGCTGTGTGGAGTGCTCTGGAGTCCTAGATGGGCCTGAAGTGTACCCAGCGGTGCCTGCAGCTCAGCACTGTTTTAAGTGAAGCATTCTGTACAACAGTGGCAGCTGCCTGTTTCAGCCACAAGTATTTTTGCCTACTGTTTCCTTTTAATATATCATTGCATCTTCCTAATTTGTTTAACAAATGGCAGGATTAATTTCCAATTGGCCTTTTCAGAAGGGGTTTATAGTATTAAGTAGCCTTGGTGCCAGACCCCCCCCCAAAAAAAAAAAAAAGGCAGTTACTTCTAAATTAATTTTGGAAAAACAAGCTAAACTGTCAGCTTTAATCTCTGAAGCAGGTGCACAAACATGACATCTGTGACTTTGTTCAGTAGCTGAGCCTTGACTAATAACCTGTTCTTAGGTCAAACTGTGACCTTCCGTAGATCTTTCACTAACACATTCAGAATGGTTTTCTTAACTGTTTCTTAGAAGTAAACATTTCTACTAGCTGCGGGTGCATATTAGTCAGCACTTCTGTGAAATAACAAGGCTCTAAGTGATCCCTCCTCTAATCACATTATTGGTCATCACTGCAACCTCATCTGCCTAACTTAGAAGGAAATCCCAGAGCTAACAACAGTTAAGCCAATATTTTGTTGTTGCTTTAGTGCTGTTTTGGAATCACTGTTTTGAAAATAATTATTCAAGTACCACTTCTTAATAACGAGGCTGGTTCCTTCAGAGAGAATTTAAATGATGCAATAGAAATGAAATAAGTTTATTTACTTCAAAGGAAGAAGAGGGAACATCTAATGAGCTCTGTCTTATGTTGCTCAGATGCCTCTTGCCTTTCAGTTTAGTAAACCTCTTGCTTTGCGTCTGAAGTTCCAGTAAAACTGTTTTTGACGTGGTTGCGTGGATAGCACACCCTATTTATATTTGACGTTGTGTGGTGGTTTGTTGTAAAGTCCTCCTTCCACGAATTGAAGTCTGTTAGTAAAGCCTTTACCAAAAAGCTAAATGGCCTAGTGCTGTCAGGCATATAGGATGATTTTGAGCAGACAAAAACACATACCCTAGGTGGTATAGCTGTTAAAAATAACATGATGTTTGTTACTGCAGTAACAGGTACCATATAAGTGCTTTGTATATATTAATAGCAGCATACAAGCTACTGAGTAGGTTAATCCTGTCTTAGTTTTCCCCCACTCCTGAAGCATGTCTGAATGTCTTGCCAAGCTCTGGAAGCTGAGGTTGTAGGGGTGGCATTTGATTTTTAGATCACATTTGTTGAGGATAGTAGAATGTAATTTGTGGGAAACATGATAAATTCAAATTTGTCTCATAGTTTCAAAATATAAAGGACCAGCAAGTACCCTAAATGCATATGTACTTTTATTGTATTTAAAAACCCAACTGTTATCTGGTGATCTGAAGTGTTGAAGCTCTTAGGATGTATCACAATCACCCTTATCTGTTAGATTCCTCAAGCTGATAAGCATTATGGTCTCTGACAGAAAGGCAGTTAGCCTTGTTTTTTCTTATTGGGGTTATTCTTTTCTCTTGGGGTTTTTTTGTCCCAAATTGGTGTGTGTTCTTATGCTGTCTTGTTTGCTACTGCAGGGTCTGTTTCATCTGGAGTGCTCTTTGCTGCCTCCACAAGTTTTTCTGAAGGGCTCTACACCCTTTCATTTTTGGACCCATAGGGTATGGCTGCTTACCCACACTGAATATCCCAGATCATTTTTAATCCTGTGTCTGCTGGCAGTCAAAGGTTGAGCTTTACATCCTCTTCAGTATGCTCAACAGACTGTTACCTGTTTGTCTTAGTTGCACTGCCCTGCTTCTTGTCACCTTAGTTTTGCAGCTTCACTTGTAAGTCTTACAATTTCTTGATTTTTATTATGCTGTTACAGTTTAAAGTGGATCCTCATCTTTTTACTTACTTCTTCTAATCAAAGGTTATACCTCAAATAACAACGTGGAAATAGCTTTCTGGGATCTGACTTCCAAGATAAGCCCTCTCACTGCAAATACCTGCAGATGCTGTTACAGTAATAGTCATGTTTGTAGTTTGTCACTTCAGGGGTGATTTATCTCTGGTAAGACCCTCTCTCTACCTGTGTGACGATGAAACATGTGCGTTCTGTTTGCTGCTAAATGCTTACAGAAAGTCAGCAGAGTTCTATAAACTTTTGGAGGGTTTTGCTGGCATTCAGTATTTGTGCAGGTAGTCTTTAATAGCTAACCATAACACACTAAATTTTGTATCTTATGTACAGGGTACTAACTTCTATCAGTTTAGACACCTTTTCTAGTCATAGTGCAGGTCTGTCAACACCTCACCGCTGCTGTAGGGCATTACACACCCCAGAGCCTCAGAAGGGAGGGTATTTCTAAATGTGGCAGCTTTGCTTAGTTATCTGTTTATATTTTGAGGTTTTATTTCAGTTTGAGTTGTATACTGGAGAGAGGGAGGCCTGTAGCATCTTCTTTCCAATATGAGGAGGTTTCGTTTACCTAAATGAGGTGGTATCAGATACTGATGACTGGGAACTGTCACGTTTCAGCTGTGATAATTTTAGAGCCTTTCAGTCGAGGTGACAGTGCAAACCAAGTTGTTCAGAGCACAGTGAGTAGCCCTTTAAAGTTACAGGAACAAAGAAAATAAGAGACACAATTCTGCAAAACAATGGTAAACTGTCATAAATAAGTTTTTCTGAGCATCTTATCGTTCCATTTACCTCTGTTCCTTTAGGTCTCTGCCTAATAGCCTTTCTTCTTTACTATTTTTTCTCTGTCCAATCTTTCTAATCAAATATCATAGCCCATTCACATAAGAAAGATGACAGTTAAACAAGGCCTGCAGGTCTTGAACAGTATCTTAAAGAGAAACTAATTTCTCACAGTTATGAAGAGAGACTTCCAATATAAAGGTTTGAATATGCTGGTTAGACAAAATTAATTGCCATTCTTTAAGAACAATGTGTAATTAAAGGTGGGGTGGTATTAGTGCAACTTTTCTGGTCACTACTGACGCTGCTTATACTAAAGCTGATTTGGTGACTAAAAACCTTAAGTTCCATAGGCCCTTTTGCATACCTTTTTAAGTAGTTCAGTTGTACTTGATCAATTCAGACTGTAGTAATCTAGAGGATTGATTTAGGTTTTCAGGAAAAAAAGAATCCCAACTGTTGCCTAATTTAAGGAAGAAGAGGATCATCTGTGAAACGTTTGATTCTTCCTGACACACTAACAAGGTCTTTCTGAAGTGCATTTATCAACTTAGTACGCTAGAATATTTCAGAACCATGGTACAATATTATAGCCAAACTTTTTTTTTTGAGAAAATTAGTAATGGAAAAGCTTTTCACTGACTTAAAACATCTCTTCTAGATGAAAAAAGTCATCAAGATGAATCACTGGAGTCAAAGGTGAGGAAATAAGTTTTTCTTGTGAAGTGAGAGCAGAAGTATGAAATTCAGAACTATGATTTGATTCCTGTTTTAAACTGTTCTGTAACTTGTTCTCTCATTAATTTCTTTGTATCTGAAGAACTAATGTTGTGTTATATCTTTGAAAACCTTTTTCAAGGAACTGGAAGGGATAGAGTCAATGAGAGCTGAGAATGGTAGCTCAACTTTTGATGCTACTGTTAAAACTTATTATGATAATTAATCATCGCTTTAAAAAGTAATGGGTTTTTTGCCAGCTGCTGCTGTTCAGTTTCTAATCTTCTGGATTATGTGGCTGCTTTCCTTCAGGCTTTATCTGCAGAGGACCAGGTAAAGGACCATTCCAGTGGAACTCGAGTGGTAGCAGGTCAAATCTTCCTTGAATCAGGGAAGTCAGACTCTCAGTCAGAGCGTGAAGAGGACTTTCACAGTCAAGAGGAGGAAAAAGACAATATGCTGGAAGAGTTGAACACTCTAGAAATGTTAAATCTATTAAATAAGGATTTGGAAGAAGCAGAAATACAGAGTCTAGGTAACTACTTACAGACTTCTGAACAAGTGACAAAGATGCATCTTTGGTAACTTTGGCTTGTGGATGAACACAAATAGTGACTTTGAACATATGAAATACCAAGTGTTTTAACCCTCATGGAATGGTAATTGCTGCCTTTTCCATTAGAAAATAGTATCAAAAAGTCTTCAAATACATTGTGATTGAAATCTAAGGGGTTATTTTTAGATGTATTCGAATGGGTTTTCTATAATTCCATCTTCTTGAAAAGCTTTGTGTCAAACAGAGAAAGCCCTGATTTCTTCAAGTAGCCTCAAGAGTGCATACTGTGCTGTGTGTATATATACCAGCCGTAGAAGGAGAAATTGCATCAGTGTTTCAGCCTGCTGGCTGTTTGCCTGGAGAGTCAGTTGACAGAGAAGGAACAAAGTGTGATGCAAAGACAAGCTTCCCAGGATGGCATTGAAAGCCTTAGGGCAACATCTACATTGCGTGTAAACTTCAGTAAGTTTTTCAAGATAGGTAAAACCTTATGTTCCTTTGCCTAAATTCCAGGAAAATTGCAGTATTTCTTTCTTACTACTAATAAAAATACAAATCTAATAATGATTTTGACTTACAGTTAGTAGTGGATAACTGGGTAGCACAGATGAGTAACCGAGCCTATGCAGCAAAAACTTTTCCTTTTCTCTTGTTCCTAAAAAGAAAATCTTCAACTTCACTGAAAAAATATGGTTACATGGTAATATTAGTATTTGTGTATCTTCTCAAATCATGTTTGATTGTCAAAAGAAAGCAGTAGTTATGAAAAGAGCTCCATTATATACTAGAAAACACTTGAAGTTGGTAAGCCTTCCTTATTAATGCAGAATTAGTATATGGTTTGTAAAAACTCAGTAACAGGATTAAATATTGTTGTCTAAGTGTGGTGGTGTAAAGGAAAAATGTTTATAAAATCCACTAAATAGCTTGTTTCCACAAACACTGAGCTAAGGACTGTATTTAGTCAGAGGAGTCTATTTCAAAGGTAAAATTTAAGATATGTTTAATCGCACGGCAGAAAGGTGTCACCAGTTGGCTTGCTCCTTGACAACTAAGGTTTTTATCTACACCTGTCAAAGTACTGCAGGTGACTTACAAAAACCATAAATTTAAGTCTTCTACAGTATTTGGAAACTGGCATGAATTAAAGAAGCAAGGTGGATGGAAGGATTACTAGTTTTATCCAAAAAGCAATTCTGAAGAAAAAGTACGTGTACTCTGGCAAGAAAAAAGCTGCTGAAGGACAGCTTTACTGGCAAACTTTTTCACTGAGCAGGACAGTGATCTACTTCAGGTGCAGATATTATGTCTCTTGAATGAGCTACTGATGACAGGACTGCATTAACGGAGATTAAAGCTTTTCTAGATACAGTTTGGGTCCCCTGTATGGTCATGAGATTGCGGAGTGGGGGGCAGGAATTCTTCAAGTTTCCACCTGTATTTTTCAGGATATTGAGCAGAAAAAAGATTAATCTTCAGCAATTTAGAATTGGTGCTATTAAGGCTTTTAACCTTCTAAGAGGGCAGGAATACTTTTTTCTTCTGATTAGTGAGGAAGTCTTTTGCATAAACAAAATGGTATTTTTTAGCTATTTGTCTTTTGCTGTATGTTTTTGTAATGATCAAGTTCCATAGTAACATTTTTTGCTGAAAACTGCCCACAAGCTTATACAGAGCTGGCAATTCATGCTGCGTTTGTTTTCCTCTTTGGAGGAATCTTAACAGTAATGTGACCGGTACTTCTAAGTAATACATATTTGGGGTTCCTGCAGCGTAAAGTATGTGATGAGATACTTTAAGTAAATAAGGACAAAATATAATGATAAAATACCATATATTTTATTCAGCCGTAGTAAAACAGGTAAATTACTACTTGCACACTCAATTTGACAAGAAGTAATTTATCCTCAGAGTAAATTATTTGTCTGTTTGTATTTAACATTCTTTAAGTACGTAATAAAATAACTGTCTTGAGCATTTTATCCTGTGATTGCATTCCACGTTGCTTTAGGGGTTAGTATTTGTTGCTGTCTGGAGGGTGGGAACAGGATTATGGTTGAATTCAGAATTCAAGAAAGGTAACGGGGAGGATGGGAGCAGAGTAATTTTGTAACTAGTGTAGAGCTAACTTATGCAGAGCCCTATGTAAATGGTTCATGTCCAATTGCTTTCAATACAGGAGTCAAGGTACTAAAGAATACAAGTAAAACTTCAAGTTCTTTTGTTGCTGTCTGGAGGGTGGGAACAGGATTATGGTTGAATTCAGAATTCAAGAAAGGTAACGGGGAGGATGGGAGCAGAGTAATTTTGTAACTAGTGTAGAGCTAACTTATGCAGAGCCCTATGTAAATGGTTCATGTCCAATTGCTTTCAATACAGGAGTCAAGGTACTAAAGAATACAAGTAAAACTTCAAGTTCTCAAGTAGTGTTAGCATCCTGGACATGGAGTCTGTTCACATGACAGTGATGAGAGGTCCCATCGGTTGTAGTTATATGTACACTTAGCATGAGTTTGTGCATTACTTCCTGGTTAACATGTCTAAAATTATTCCAAGCTAATTACACCTAGGCAGATTATTTCTGAATGCAGTTTCTGAAAATAACATTTTTCCCTGTGTGTTACGGGTTAATTAACTTGGGGGGGTGGGGGGGAGGGGGAGGGAGGGTGTTGTGGTGGAACATCTGCCAAGGAATCAAATTATGAAGAGCAATTTGAACAGGCTAACTAATCCTAGAGACTTCCTTATGCTTCAAAAACTCAACATAAATTTTTAAATTAGTATGGTTTCTAGGCCTTACAATTGTAGATCCTAGAAGAAAGAACTAACTTTGTCTATAACCACAAGAATTACAAACTTAACTTGAAAAAACACTGTATAATTGACGTTCTCAATGGCATGACTTTGCAAATGTCTTCAAATTAAGCTGCTGGATCTAGCTTAATGAAAGAGAAAAACCTTTATAAAAGGCTAATTGAAATAATTTCATTTTCAAAAAAAATGAAGATAAATCTTAGTCTTTATAGATGATTGATTTTAAAATGTTGCAATATTAGAATCAGTAACCTTTGAAGTTCTCGTGCATGAGAAATGATAATTCATGCTCTCCAAAGTAATTTTGAATGCAACTTAAATATATTGAAGTGAAATAAAGCTTTTAAGTATATAGAACAACAGAAAATGCCTGGACTCACAATGATTTCAGTCTTTTTTTACAGCTGTAAGT